TTATGCACTTTTGCTTATAAACAATAAAAATCTCATTTAGGCATTTTATTATTATAAATACATCATGCCAAACACATATAATTCATTTAGGTAATCTTACGAAATTAACCCAATAATTATAAGCAATATAATCGGTCATCCTCACCTTAAGTGAGCTTGAACGCGTTCTACGCTTCCCGGTTGAACTTTGACCAACTCCGGCGAACTTTGACCAACTCCGGCGAAACTCCGGCGAGGCTCAAAAATACTTTGATCAAGTTCCTAACAAGGTTTTAACATCATAAAACCTTAATCAATACAAATAACCTCTAAAAGGTTATTTTCCGGTGAACTTGTCGGTTTGCCTTCTAAATCCGTTATTGGACATAGAACCACTTTCCAATCCATTATTCCACCCTCATATCATGTGGAACAATCCTAAGGACTCTCCATATGATATATATATCTCATATGATAGAAGAAAATAAAGGAAAAGTTGATATAAGGTCATTACCTTAATCCTTCTCACTTTCTCCCAACTTTTCCTTCCTAAAACCTTTCCCTTGGACCTCCTTGAGCTTGGGCTTGTGCTTGGCTATGGAGGGTGCTAATTTCTGGGATTTCCTTCTTCTCTTGAGTGTATGGCCGAGTGGTTGAGGGAGGAAGGAGGTGGGTGTCCTTTTTGTCTCAAATGTATGAGTGGTGTGGGAGTGGTCCCCCTTCAATTTGTTTGATCCTCTTCCAATCACTTCTCACTCCCTCCCATACCCCTCCAGCCGACCAAGACTCCTAATGGAGTGTCCAAATTCGTGGGTTGGCCCCCACCCATGTGGGAGGTCAACCCTTTTTGTCCCAAAGTGTACAATTTGTCCCGAAAGTTGTATTTTTCGGGCTGTTTTAAATATATTTCATTTTATCGGGCCAAATAAAATATATTATGTGTTCTCCATCATTATGACCCATATGATGAATATTCATCTCCCAACTTTAATTTATAAGTCCCCGAGATTCAATTTCGGGCTTTCATCGGTTAAATTGCCAATACCGGTATTTGGGCCTCTTTTGACCAATCGGTCAACTCTGGACCCTTCCATGGCTCAAATGAGTTATCCACCACCATATAATTATTATCTAGGCCAAGATGAATAATTTATGTGGTCCCGGGACTATCGGGCGGCCCCCGCTCCCGTTGCGGGCCCCACGTGCGGATTTACTATTCGTGCAAAAGAACTAATAAAAATTCACAACTTCGAATACTCGTTAACCATTTCATAAGGTTCAATACAATATACTCTTAAAAGTAAATACATTTGGGGACGGCGCTACAGCTTCCCCCTCGATACGAATCGGATGATGCCCTTCCAAGGAGAAATCCTTAGGAAGACCTCATCACCGACTTCGAACTCCAACGGTCTCCGCCGTTTATCAGCATAACTCTTCTGTCGGTCCTGAGCAGCCTTCAGTCTATCCCGAATGATCCTCACCTTGGCCTTGGTGATCTCAACCAGCTCTATCCCTTCGAGTTTGGCCTCGCCAACCTCGTCCCAACACAATGGTGTTCTGCATTTCCTCCCATACAATGCCTCATATGGGGGCATGCCGATACTTGCCTGATAACTGTTGTTATAGGCAAACTCCACTAGGGCCAAATGCTTGTCCCAACTTCCTTGGAACTCCAAAGCACATGCCCTAAGCATGTCTTCCAAAATCTGTATCACCCGCTCGGACTGTCCATCGGTCTGTGGGTGAAAAGCTGTGCTAAACCTCAGTTTAGTCCCCAGAGATGCTTGAAACTTTGGCCAAAATCGGGATGTGAATCGTGGATCCCTATCCGAGACAATGGATATTGAGACTCCATGTAATCTCACAATCTCCTCCGTGTATAGCTTGGCCAATCTTTCAAGAGGATAAGTAATGTTGATAGGCAGAAAGTGTGAACTCTTGGTGAGCCTATCAACCACTACCCATACGGCATCGTAGTTGTTCACTGTTCGTGGCAGCCCCACCACGAAGTCCATGGTCACATGTTCCCACTTCCACTCTGGGATGGTGAGCGGTTGTAAGAGCCCTGCTGGGTGCTGATGCTCTGCCTTAACTTGCTGGCAAGTAAGGCATCGACTCACAAACTCTGCGATATCCTTCTTCATGCCTGACCACCAGTAACTTTCCTTCAGATCTCGGTACATCTTAGTACCCCCTGGATGCATGGCATATGCTGAAGAATGAGCCTCCTCAAGTATAGCCCTCTGGAGCTCCTCATTCTTTGGTATGCACACACGATCCTTAAATAATAAAAGACCGTCATCACGTACCCGAAAATTCTCGACGGGCCCCTCAAGGATCCGTTCGCGGATCTTCTGACATTCCTCATCAATGGCCTGACATCTACTGATCTCACTCAGCAATGTAGGCCTCACCTCGAATCTAGCAATGAGCGCCCCGCTCGTGGATACCTGCACGTGTGCCCTCAATGCCTGTAGACATGTGAGTAGCGTCCCTGACGTACTCTTTCTGCTCAGTGCGTCGGCCACTACATTGGCCTTTCCGGGATGATAGTCAATGATCAAGTCATAGTCCTTGATCAACTCCATCCATCTCCTCTGCCTCATATTCAACTCTTTCTGAGTGAATACATACTTCAAGCTCTTATGATCAGTATAAATGTGACACGTCTCCCCGTAGAGATAATGCCTCCAAATCTTCAATGCAAACACCACCGCCCCCAATTCTAGATCGTGAGTAGGGTAGTTCACCTCGTGTTTCCTCAATTGCCTAGAAGCATAGGCAATCACCTTACCGTTTTGCATTAGTACACATCCAAGCCCTTGGATGCTAGCATCGCTGTAAATGTCGTACCCTATACCCTGTATGGGTAGGGCCAGGACTGGTGCTTCGGTAAGTCGTTTCTTCAATTCAAGGAACCCCTTCTCGCACTTATCGTCCCATATGAACTTGGCCCCTTTCTTTGTGAGCTTCGTTAATGGAGACGCCAATACGGAGAATTTCTCAACAAATTTACGATAGTATCCCGCTAGGCCAAGGAAACTACGTATCTCCTTCGCATTCCTGGGTCTCTCCCAATCCATGATCGCTTTTATCTTGGCGTTATCCACAGCAACACCCGAACCGGATATGACATGACCGAGGAAACCAATCTCTTTGAGCCAAAATTCGCATTTGGAGAACTTGGCGAAGAGTTGCTTTTCCCTTAGCCGATCAAGTACAAGCCTCAAATGGTGTTCGTGCTCTTCCTCGCTCTTGGAGTATATCAAGATGTCATCAATGAATACTATCACAAATTGATCTAAGTATTCACTAAACACACGGTTCATCAAGTCCATGAATGCTGCCGGTGCATTGGTTAACCCAAATGACATCACAAGAAACTCGTAGTGACCATATCTAGTGCGAAATGCACTCTTAGGTATGTCACTCTCCTTGATCTTCAACTGATGATACCCCGATCTCAAGTCAATCTTTGAGAATACTATGGCCCCTCGAAGTTGATCAAACAAGTCATCAATCCTAGGTAAAGGATACCTGTTCTTGATGGTGACCTTGTTCAACTGTCGGTAGTCGATACACATTCTTAGTGTACCATCTTTCTTCTTTACGAAGAGTACGGGTGCTCCCCACGGTGAATGACTGGGTCTGATGAACCCGTTGTCCAGTAATTCTTGTAGTTGGACCTTCAATTCTTGGAGTTCGGCCGGCGCCATTCGATAAGGAGGAATCGAAATGGGTTTGGTTCCCGGCTCCACTTCAATTACAAACTCTATCTCTCTATCGGGTGGAAGCCCCGGTAGGTCCTTGGGAAAGACATCCGGGTATGTGCATACGACCTGTACATCTTTGATGTCGACTTCCTTCTTGGTATCGTCCACCACGTAGGCAAGGTATGCGTGGCATCCCTTCCTCATCATCTTCCTTGCCCTCATCACGGATATGATGTAAGCATTAGATTTCCCCCGATCTCCTTCGAAACATAGCGTGTTTCCAAGATCATCCTCGAGCTCCAACACCTTGGTGTAGCAATCTACTCGAGCATGGTGCTTCTCAAGCCAATCCATTCCTAGAATTGCATCGAACTCCAACATGCTCAGAGGTACGAAATCACAAGTCAAGGGTTGACCCGTCACTTCCACCTCACATGATGGATAGTAATGATTTCTCTCCACGTCGTCTCCTAACGGTGTGGAGACTAGCAATGTTTGTGTCATAGGCGTCAATGGCACGTCGAGCCCCTCAGCAAACGCCTCACTCACAAATGAGTGTTGTGCCCCGGTATCGATGAGGATCCTCGCACACCTACCATTGATCTTTAATGTTCCTACATTTATACACCATGTAAGATACATTTTCTAATGTTTTTACACACCTTTAGGAGGTTATTAGGTTCATACTAATGTTTGGAATCAAACGAGGGTCCAAACGTAGAAGAACGGGGCGAAAAAAATCAAGTTTCGGGTGTTGGGGGTCCACGCACGGCGTGCGTAGGGGGTACGCATGGTCGTGCGTACCTTGCCTTACCAATGGAGGCTACTGCCCCCAACGCACGGAGGGACGCACGGGCAACGCACGGCCGGGCGTGCAGCGATTTTCCTCCGAGGTGCTACTGCCACCAACGCACGGAGGTACGCACGGGCAACGCACGGCCGGGCGTGCAGCGATTTTCCTCCGAGGTGCTACTGCCACCAACGCACGGAGGTACGCACGGGCAACGCACGGCCGGGCGTGCATCGATTTTCCTCCGGGGTGCTACTGCCACCAACGCACGGAGGTACGCACGGGCAACGCACGGCCGTGCGTGCAGCCCAGCCTGTAGTGCGTTGGCAGAAATCAGCCCGATTTCGCCCGATTTCGCTCAATTTCGCTCCGTTTGATCCCGGGGTGGCCCGAACTCAACCCCCAACGGTGTATATGATCAAAATAAGTCTAGAAATACATGGGAATACGTGTATTACCTGCAACGGAGTCCGGGTTTGCTCGCGCATCCGCCTCGGTCATCGCGTAGACGCGTGCTTGGGTCCCACCTTGGTTGACGGATGCGGCATGGCTTGTGGATGCACCGCCTCTTCCCGTACCGCCGTTTGACGGTCCCGCACGGTTTCTTCCCGTCATGGTCCCTCCCCCGGCTCCCGAGGCACTCTCTTGCATCAATTGAGGGCAATTGGCCTTCATATGGCCCGCATTCCCGCACTTAAAACACCTCGGTGGTTCATTGCACCTCCCAAAGTGTTGTTTTGAGCAATTGGGACATCTAGGTGGCCCCGAGTTCTGTGGCCTAGGTCCGTGCCACCTCGCATCCCTATTCTTCTTTGCCGGTGGAGCCGGCGCCTTGAATGAGCCACCGCCACCACCACCACCCCCGTGGTTGTTCCTTCGAGAATGATCGGGTGGCCCCGAATTATTCCACTTCCTTTTCTTCACCTCTTCGGCGTCCCTTGCTTTCCTCTCATTCCACTGGGCCTCTCCAAGCATGCCCTGCTCTACCACCTCACTAAAGGTCATGAGGCGGGAATACGTGGCACGATCTCGGATGTCCAAGAGTAAGGCATCCCAGAAGTGCTCAGTCATGCGGTCCTCATCGATCGCATACTCCGGCAAGAACCTAGCCAAGGTCCTAAACTCTTGCTCCAGTTGCTTAACCGTGCAACCCTCTTTCTGCTTGAGGTTGGTATACTCCCTCCTTTTCACATTAACCTCGAAATCGGAGTAGTATTGAGCATAAAATTCTTGCTCAAAATTTTCCCATGAGATGTCCCCACGGTATTTCCCTTCTACACCTTCCCACCATGTAGAAGCCATCCCCTCAAGTAGCCGTGAAGCGACAGTTAGCTTCACGTCCGGAGTAATCTGCATGTCTCTCGATGCATCCTTCACCTTCTTGATCCAATCGGCGGCAGCGGTAATGTCGCCGGTGCCGTCGAAGGACCTACACCCCAAGGCCCTAGCCTCCTTGAGGTATTTGGAGATTCTTACTACAAAACCTCCTTCATGCCCACCTTGTGGCGCCGCTGGGGTGGCCACGGAAGCTCCCCGACTCCCTTGACCCGAACCACCACGAGAGCCACGCCTTGCTTGGCGCCTAAGGTCTCTCCTCAGCTTTTCTTTTTGATACCACTCAAGCAATTCGCCCATTTGAGCGAACTTGGCATCACTCTCTTCGTCGTCATCATCGGTGTATGTGTCACCACCATCATACGGGGTCTCCTCATGCTCCGTTTCCGGAACGTAGGTTGAGTCATAGTCCTCGGTGTTGGTTTCATACACCGAGCTTACATGGCCATCACTCACAGTTTGAGCTTGATGACCTCCACGGCTTCCACGGCCTCCACGGCCTCCTCTTGAACCCCGAGATGCAGCCCGGCTTCCCCTTTGGGATGTTACCGGCGCCTGCCCCCTCGGATTGTTCCTGGTCCGCATTCGCCTGCCCTCCATTTCTGAAAGAAATATGGATGAGTCATTAGACTCCTATAAATGTGAATGTCAATTGACGGAAGAACGCTACAGACACGTATTGGCCCAAGTCACCACCATACCAATTGTTAAGGGTACCGTCTTAACAATTAGAGGCCTTGCAACTTAAGCTCCAATAGTCCCATAAACGTCAAAATACAATGCCCATGGTTTTCGGTAAAAACTCTTTTGTAAAATCTCATGTGAGAGGTTGATTATATAGTTTAGAACTGAGATGGCTCTGATACCACTTAATTGTCACGCCCCAGACCGCAATCCAAGCGCGTGTACAACCGCCGTATAATCAAGTGACGTCACCCGCGAGTCAACCTCACTTAATTACACAAGGCGTTCGAGAATATAAACCATCCATACTCAGTAGTAAACATACATAACAACATCACACTTAAACCAATGAATAGCGGAAATATTCAACGGTAAGTCATAAGCCACAACCGGCCAACAACATGAGCATGCAAGCCCCAAAAGTAGTTTATAGCAAATAAAAATATCCATGAGCAATGTTTAGTCATTTGAAAGGAAATGAGGAAGCACGAACCACGTCTTCCTTGACTTGATGTCACCCGTAGAAAGGTGCAGGTAGCAAGCCCTAGCTTCAACCTGAAAATGGTGGGGCCCCCCGAAGGGGTCAGTACAAGTACCGAGCGAGTAGCAGGCTAAATATAGAATAACTAGCGTTTCAAGTATAAGACCCAAACATAGGATGATACATATACGTATAGTCTTTCCCCCAAGTTTGAAATACATATTAGTATACATACACTTGGAAATACCCGACCCGTAGGTCATTGTTTATTTGGGAAAATAATAGTAATAGTCAGTATTCTTGACTAAAAACCCCAACCCCACCCATATGCCTATGAGTGTATAGAACTCCTCCTTGTTTAAGTAAATTATCATAAGGACACCGCCCGGTCCTAGATCATTAAATGTAATCTATGAGTTTTGAGGATACACGCCCGATCCTTGGGTACTCCACCCTATAACTGAGTTTTGAGGATACCGCCCGATCCTTGGGTACTCCACCCTATATAACCGAGTTTTGAGGATACCGCCCGATCCTTGGGTACTCCACCCTATATAACCGAGTTTTGAGGATAACCGCCCGATCCTTGGGTACTCCACCCGACCTATGACTTACCACATATCACACTAGATAGGGTCTATATCATATTTAGTCATTCATAACTAATTCAATACATAAGGCTTATGTATCACAATCCATGCAAAGCCATGCAATTATATAAATGTATAATTAACTAATATCAACCGATATTAACTAATCCATTATCCATCGGTCAACGTTGTCGTTGACCGCCAATTCAAGCCTTGTACCTATCAACTTAATCATCATATAATTAAGTTAATAATACTCATTTGTGCTTCTTTTACACTTCAAGCTAATATGCATTTTATACAATTCCTCATATCATATTTCATGCATAAACAATTAATTCTTTTCATACAACTTAATAATGTTGGCTAATCACATGTTTAAATATCTTTTAAACATCATTATGAACACATATAACATTTATTTAGGTAATCTCATAATTAACCCAAAAGTTATAAGATATTAAGCCGTCCACTCACCTTGAACTAGCATTAAGAAGTTCTACCCTTCTTGGTTGAACTCCGGTGAAACTCCGGCGACTTTTGGTCAACTCCGGCGACAATTCCGGCGACTTTTCCAACTTTGTGAAATCACTTGAAATACCCTTTACAAGTGCCTAACAAGGTTTTATAATCATAAAACCCATGTTAATACAAATAACCTCAAAAAGGTTATTTTCCGGTGAACCGATCGTTTTGACTTCTAAGTCCGTTCTTGGACATAGAATCACTTCCCAACCCATAAATCCATACTTATAACATGTAGAACCCTCTTAAGGATCCTTCACATGATATATATCTTATATGGTAGAAGAAAAATAAAGGAAAAGTTATAATAAGGTCATTACCTTAATTGTTCACACCTTTCCCAACCTTTTTCCTTCTCCAAACACTCCTCTTTGGACCTTCTTCCTTGAGCTCGAATTTGGGTGTGAAAATGGTGAATTGTAGAGCTCCCCCTTGCTATTCTTGGTTGCTTGGTCGAGCCAATGAGTGAGGGAGGGGAGGGGATGGCTCTCTTTGTCTCATTTGGCAAATGAGTGAGGAAAAGGGCCCCTTTGGGTGTACCTTTGATGCCCAAGCCTCCTCCTCCACACTTTCCTTAGTCAACTCCAGCCCATCCTTGCCTACTCTAGCACAAAAACGTGGGGTGGCCCCCACTCATGTGGGAGGTCATCCCTTTGTGTCCCGACGTGTACAATCGGTCCCGAAAGTTGTATTTTTCGGACTGTTTTAATCATATTTTATTTTATCGGGTCAAATAAAATATATTATGTGCTCTTACTCATTATGACATGTATAATGAATATACATTCCCCAAATTTAATTTATAAGCCTCCGAAATTCATTTCCGGGCTGTTACCGGTTAAATTGTCGGTACCGGTAATTGGGCCTCTTTTTCCCAATCGGTCAACTCTACGCCTTGCCACGACCCAAATGAAATACTCACCACTATATAAATATTATCTTGACCAAGATGAATAAAATATGTGGTCTCGGGAGTGTCGGGCGGCCCCGCTCCCGGTGTGGGTCCCACGTGCAATTTACTATTCACGCGAAAGAAATAATAAAAATTTACAACTTCGTAAATTCATTAATCCTTTAATAAGGTTCGATACATTATTTACATAAAAGTAAATATATTTGGGGACGGTGTTACACAACGAACACTAAGTGCGCAACGGCCACACCTCAAGCAAATGATCCTCACTACGACCAAGATGAATTGACAACCACAGATGGTACTGCATCCGCCAACATAAAACCAAAGCCTACGGCCACCCATGTGAAAATCGTTTGATAATAACCTCTAGCCTGTGACCTTCGTCCAAGGGTTCTCCTGCAGGGTTACCTTGGACAGGATCGCCCAGGCGTTGGAGTCGCGAAAAGCGCAGGGGGGTGCCGCTTCGGCCTGGGATAGTATTTTACTCCTTTGCACCTTAGCACGCTCTTCGGCCAAAGGAGTGGGGACTGGGGGACTGTATTGGCCCCAGAAAAATATGCAAAATCAAAAAGAGCAATAGAATGGCAACATCAGCATCGCAACGTCCCCAACCATGCTAATCACCCTCGTCCAAAATCAATGAAACTTAGGAGGAACGCATTGTCCTCAAAAGAAGAGTTTTTACAAGAATATTACTAAAACAAACTTAATTACATAAATATGACTATTCATTACTACAACGTAGTGTTGTGGTAACTTAAGTTCAAAACTTGAACATGATTACTATGATTTCATTACTACTCCAGTAATTAATCATATTTTTGTAAATCATCTTTATCTTGGTCATATTTATGTAATTATTTCCTCAAAAGAAATAAATCAAAACTTTACCATCTCATGAACAAAGATATCACTACAGCTGCAAGATGGACCGAACCTCATTGGCCTCTAAAGAACAACGAAGTCACACAACGGCTTATCAAGAAGGGAACAAACAAAATTGGAACAGAACCCTTTTCGGCTGAAGACAACAATGGACTACTCCCTTTCGCTTCATCTACGTCTCAGCTCAGAGAGTGGGGGACTCCTGATAGAGTATATGGGCTTAGACCCCGTGGCCCACATACTCATAAGTTCAAAGACACCAGAATAGGACACCCACGTGGCACCCTTCGGCTAGGTAGGTCCTACAATGGCCAGAACCGAAGTTACTCAGAACACTATCCAGAGACGAAGTAGGTCCCCATCGGCCGGGGATCGCATCGGCTAGGGACCGCGTTGGCCAAAAGGCACTGTATCGGCCAGAATCAACCTAGCAGACTGTATTTTCATACTTAATTTACTAAGTCTTGTACTCAGCCTATTAGTGGCCTTATTACGCCCAAAAAGGCCTTATTATTGTAATGGGCCTCCTAAGCCCAAGGCTAGGAGCCCAAACCCACATTTACTCATATAAATAGCCCTCTAGGGGGTAGTAATAGGGGGTTGAGAAATATTAATTATAAATAGCCCAAATCCACTTTCTCTCTCTAGCTCTCACTTTTCTCTAGAATTAAATACTCTATCAGGTGGTATTCGGGGGAGACTTCAGACAAATTTTTCGAGTCATTACAAAGGGTACTAGACAAGACATTGTGAATGCCAGGATTAATTCTTCCTATATTTGGCATGAATGCATGGTATTATGTTTGACAAAGAACATGAGGTTGCAATCATTGACTGATGATCGTGAATATGAAGATTTGGTTGAGTTTGCAAAGTGAATTGCGATTGTAGGAGACAGGATTGTGGGGGAAGATAATGATGGATTTGCCAATGTCAAAATTACAAGTGACCTTTTGTTAGAGTGTGGAAGCGACCCCATTGACACTATTGTCCAAAGCACCTACCAAAACTTTGAAAATATTTTGAATGACCCTACTTACTTGCAAGAGCCTGCAATTTTGGCTCCAACCCTTGATGTTGTCGATGCAACTAATGACTACATGATTTCTTTGAATGTTAATGATGAGTCAAGGACATATTTAAGTTCAGATAGCATTTGTAGGTCAGACTCCAATGCTGATTTTCTGGCTGATTTGCACACTCCAGAATTTCTCAACAAAATACGTGCATCTGGAGTTCCAAACCATGTGTTAACTCTAAAGGTTGGTACTCCAATAATGCTTTTAAGGAATATTATATTGATCCTTCAATGGGGCTTTGCAATGGAACATGGTTAATTGTTACACGAGTTGGAGGGGGCACAAATTTGGGGCCAAAAATATGATGGGCACGCAGTTGGAATGTTAATGAATGGAACGTGTTCAGGTGGCGTTCGGCTAAATGAATGGAACATTAATGAGTCTTTATGTGAAATGGGTCTTTATGCGAAGGCCCATCCCGTAACTGAACGTGTTCTCAAATAAGCACTTCCTTCCCCCAAATGTCATAGCGAAGTGAAGAGCATAGTCCGATCAGAGTAAAATCTATCTCTATATAAAAAGAGGTGGAAAACAAGCCATTTTTCCCGCTCAAAAGTGTCACATCAAGTAGAGGCAAAGGTGGTCCAATCATATACAATTATCCGTAGGTTATTGGGGTGGAGGCGTGGAACACTCACTTCTAATGGTATAATCAAGAATTCAAGATATGGGTATGGTGGCAGATGACAGAAAAGGCTATGAGCCTATGATACGAGAGTAGTGTACGGTGGCAGATGAAAACAAGGTGCTAAAACTCGGTAGAACCAGTCAAAATCCAGCGAAAACTAGTCAAAATACGGTAAACCGATCTAAAGCCTGTAAAACCGGTCAAGCTACGACAGAATTGGTCAATACATATATGGTTTTCTTTTCCTAATCTATTGCCGTGGATCTAAATTACGAACCCCTCCCACCAGCACCTTTGCAGATATCAGGGATTAGAGATAAACATACAGAAATTGTTGTAGAAGATGAACAGGACAAAAGAGATTTCCATTTTGCTTAGATGCTTTTTAATTTCGAACCAAAAGTAACAAGCAAAGTGTAGATTGAGGTTGAGGAGTCCTAAGGATTTCCGATTGAAACTCTATTTTTTATTTTGATTTTTAAAAGGAATATAAATGAAGAAGACGATAGGATGGGAGAAGAGGTAAGGAGTGGGTGGGTACTATACCACTGTGGGCTGGGAGAATGAAGAGTTTCAAAGTGGCCGGGCTATGGGGGTGGTTGGCTAGATTAATTTATGAAGTTCATGAAGTTTTAAGTTGAAGAGATTACATTGACCGATTTTTTTAATTTAAGAAAAAAAAAATTTTAAATATATTTTATTAATAAAATAAAGAAAAAATTATACTCCATCCGTATCCTAAAGTTTGTTACACTTTCCTTTTTGGGATGAATTTAAAAGATTGCTACACTTTCCCTTTTTGGTAAGTTTTTTCCTTTAAAAATACTCAACTGCCCTTACTTTTTCCATTTTTTATCTTCTCTTTCATACTTTTACACTCTCTCTCCTACTTTTTCTACACTATTCATTACCTCTATTATTTTATCCTAAAACTTTGTGCCCAAACCTAATGTAGAGAACAACTAAATACGGAGAGAGTATGTAAAATAGCTAAAATGATCATCTACAGTAACTTCAGCCAATACAGTCAGAAAAGTAACTTCAACCTTACCTTTTCTTATTATTACACAATTCAGCGCGCGAAATCAAAAGTTACGTGTTTGGTTAAACGTTGACTGATAAACCTGATAAACCGAAAAACAGAATCACCAAACGAGCTCTAACTCAGTTGCTAACCAAATACACATGCGTGCAGGCACATCTGGAGTATATGATCGACCTGATTGACCCGTGGGTTGAGCCGGTTAACCCGTGATCCGGTACTCTAAACAGGTCATGGTTTGGTCCGGTTTCCTTTTTTTTTGGAAGATGTGGGCTTAAATTTACTTCGTATATCACATCATTTAGATAGGGAGTAAAATGACAAAAGGATCATAGACAATCACCAGCCCTCGAACCAGACTTAGAGTATACCGCCTTCAAAAAAAACAATATGACTCGCTAATCCTATATTGGGCATAAATGAGCCAACGACGGTTAAAGTAGGACTCTCATCAACCAATCCTAATGCAAGAGTTTTACAGCAAAAAAAAAGTAAACAACAAAAAAATAAGCATTCTGGTCATGAAAAATAAATAGCAAGCAGACAATAAAATTAAAATGTTGCTTCCAAACCTTAAACTCTTTTGCACTTCATGGTGACAGTTTGGTCCGGTTTCTTAAACATTGTTTTGGTTATATAATTTAAAAGTGAAGAAAAGACAACATTTTAGGGAAGCACATGTTGCTTTTATTTTTTCGTTTCTGCCCATACTGTTACACGGAGTAAGAATTACTATTGCTATTATGGGGGTGTTTGGAACTGATTCTGGTTTTGCTTCTTTTTTAAATCAGAAGCAGAATTAGAATCAGTTTTCAGAAACTGATCTCCCCCAACTTCTAAATAACTGATTCTAGGAGTAAATTAGAGCCCTAGAATCACTTCTGCACTTTCATCCAAACACTTCATCTTCTGCTTCTGCTCTCTGAATGAACATAAACAAATTTAAGAATCAGATCCAAACACCCCCTATAATTGATTAAAAACAAACTCCAGAACAAGTTGAACAACTGTCAAGCTACTTTCGGTTCATTTGTAAATTAAGATGATTTATCTTTTAGAACTATTTGAAAAGATACCAAGCTACAAAAGACGTGACTCTATATATGTTTAATATACCTCTTAAATACTTCTATGTAAATTTTACGGAGTATTTGTTAAGAATAATAAAAGTATTCGCCGGAATTGGTTAGCATTATCACTATTCAAGCATCGTGAATTGAAATGCTTTTTTTTAAAGAATTGAGGGAGTATGTATCTTATTATAAAGTAAGACATTTGTACATATATTTCTTTATATTGATTATCATCCTTTTACCAACAACATCATTTGACTTTTCTAATTGATGAGTTCTTAATATTTATTACATTTTTAATGCATTTACACATTGCATTTGTTTCAAAAGTATCATGTATTATTATTGTAAGCTAATAATAAAACATAATTTTTTACTAAATTTTTTCCATCCGCTGGAGTTTTCGGACAATGGGTCAGTCCATCCGCTGTAGTATATATCTTCTGAATCTACTCCCTTGTAGCTAGTTTCTCATTATTTGTCATCCATCCATCCAAAGGCCAGAGCACAGTACAGTGAAGAATCCGTTTTGCTAGCTAGTTCGTTTAATTTTTTGCATGGAGGGTTCCCTGTTCTTGAAGACAGATTTAAATTAAATATACGTAGTAGTACATACAGATGGATGGATGCATGTTTGATTGTGTTGCTTGCAGCACCCATCCACCCGCATATGGCTTCCTGATGATTAATTTATCTTCATCTTCTGGTAACATGCAGCGATTGTACTAAGGTTAAAGTAGCAAGAAAGGTTGAAATTAATTAAAGGGACTCCATTCTCCGAACCACGCACTGCACAAATGGAATCCGCAAATGAAATCTGGGAATCGCATAAGAGGTTGGGAGAGAAAATGGAAGGGTTGGATGCAGAGGTGGTTTGTAATGAGACATTTGTTTGTGGCGGGTCGGAGCCCAGTACCATTCTAGGCCCCTGCTTCAAGTCCAATTTCCCTTCGGAGCTTTCCCCATTTTACCCTCTAGCACAAGGGGAGAAGCTCTTCTTCCACAGCTCACTGCCCCTTGAACCACCCGAGACGGGTGATCTGGGCGGCGGCGGCAAGTGCTGGCCAAGTGTGAACCGCAGCTGGACCGATTGGGTGGAAAAGGTTGAAAGGTCCAAAGGCCGGGTCTGGAAATCAGCCGGGATCTATGACGCTATCCACCTCTCCAAAATGGACATCCCCCTCGACCACAACCTCGTTCACGCCGCCCTGTTCTTCTGGTCAGTCTCGACCAACTCCTTCCATTTCAGGTTCGGCATGATGGGCCCCACGGTGCTCGACATTGCTGCACTGACCGGCCTCAGGCCGCACGGCGAGGATGACGTCAGCGCCGTTCTTGATGGGCTCCACGCAGTGACGGAGGACGAACATGTCTCTTTTCTCGTCGAGTGGCTCTCCAAGTACCTCTTTTGCGACTCCGGGGGCGGGGAGTTCACCAAATTGGCCTTGGCTCTCTCGGGCGGGAGAAAGCTCGCCTTGGCGCCTCTTGTCCTGGCCAGTCTCTACGCTGTTTGTAGAGACATTATTGTGAACAACTGTAAGTGTGACAGCGGCGGTCCGTTATGGATATTGCAGCTCTGGATACAGTCCTACTTTCCCGAATTCCGCCCTCGGGTTTCCGAGATTGTCGTGAATGCCCGAACGTTCGGATACCCTTTGGCCAAAAGCGGCGTGCTGAGGCCTCACACCTTCGACCAGTGCTTCACCTTCTTCCTCACGTGCCCTTCTAGGACCCCTGCCCAGTTCACCCCCTTCTTTCAGGGCACTTGTGGCCCCGAGTGGTTCAAGAAGTCACTAGACCCCGCCTCGCGGGACCTTCCGTGGAAGGAAATGAACCAAATCTGGGGCTCCTATCTCCTCCCACGCCACCTCCATTGCCTCGGGCCAGCCTCCGCCGCCGCTTATTCTCCAAACCAGCTTGCCCGACAGTTCGGATTGACACAGGCGGTCCCACTCCCGCTGTGCCACGGCCCTGAATCAACTTACAATTTGCTGAGGGGGAAATTCTGCTTGGTTTCGTTTAAAATTGAACCCCGATCTACCTGCTTCTTTGATTTCTGGTGGTCTGCTTACATACGGCGGTGGAGCACCAATAGGACTACTGGTAGTAGCATGGCGCCTCCGCCGCCAGCTATAGTTACTCTCACCTCACATGCAATGAGAGAAAGGTACGAACAGTCTGCTGCTGCCAGCAACAAGAAAATGAAGCGTGAAGGTACATAATTTATGCTCTCCACCCGGCCATATTATTATTACGTGCCTAATAGTAATACCAATAATTTGTATTCCATCCAACGGTTGCTTGATGTGCATATAGGGAAATCTGTTCCCTCACAAGCAGAGATTCTTAAAAAACGAAACATCTCACACAACAAAGCAGCAGGCAAGTCCGCGGGTACAGTGAAGGGGAAAGCACCAACTCATTTCAAGGTATGTACGTGCGTAAAGTGGTTTCACTCATGTAGTCATATTATTTCTTAAACGTAACACTACTTTCCCTTCCCTAGTTCCCTGTTCCCTCCCTAAACAGATACTCCGTTTATATGTTATACGCGAGCTCATGCATGCATATCCTATTTAATTTATACTTAAGAACATACCGCTGCAGCTTTCAGCAACACCACGTAGACAAGGGCCGCCCCCGCCTCTCTCAGAGACAAATAATACTACTGTCAAATCTGTTCCCACATGCTCTACCAAGCCTTCACAAACAGAAATGGACAAAGTAAAAGATACGCCTGTTTTGGGCGATGATGCCACCTCCATCACCTCATCCTTCACTTCCGAAGATGTAAACTCACCATTCTTCATCTCTTATTTCATATTTCTAGTTACTTCTTTGATCTTATCAGGTTCATGAGTTTGTTAAGATATCAATGATCACTTGTTTTCCAATTACAGTAACAAAAACATGCTCACACACATATAATCATTTGAATCTAATGAGAATATGATGTGATGTAAGATATGCGATGAATCTTTTTATTAGATTTTGGAATTGCACATTATCTGAAATCAAAATGTGCACCATAATGAGAAACACAGTGACATTACTGTAGATAAATTGAACTATTCTGAAACACTAATGTGCATGGCATTAGCAAAATGTGCACTATTTTGCATCATTTTCATTGTCAGTTAGTGCCCATAACTAATGGTAGTGATGCATTTTAGTGTCCAACTTTCAAATGATGCAAATAGATTATGTTGACTTGACTTTGAAAATTTTAAATATAGTTGAAATGCCTAAATGCATCTATACTAATAAATATGGTACCATTTTTACATTTAGCCCCACATACTAATAAATATGGTACCATTTTTACATTTACTTGTTGGATCAGGAAGAAGTGGCTGTAATGACTGAGCAACCACTAACCAATAGTAGTGGCGGGAAAGTGATACCCGATGAAACCATACAAGTTGACGACGTGGATGACTTTTTTGCACGCGTGGAAGCCCAACTAAGGAAAGCCCAATCTCTCAGCTCTGCAGCATGCCATTCTCCATCCGTAGCAGCAAATGATGATCCTCCTTCTGCAGCAGCACTTGCAAGAGCCAAAGATGATATATCTAGACTTGTATCGATCCCTTTCCAGGATGTTGTTCTCATGCCTGAAAACTACTCTGCTCTCAATGCTGCACTCTCTGTATACGCCACCGCTGATCACTGCTCTATTGGTGATGATGATGACACTTTGAAGAAACTCCAGACAACCCTTCCGGACCTGTGCTCTACTCTTCGTCGGGGAAAGAAGGATCAGGCGGAGTTCTTCGCAAAAGCTGAAAAGAAAGCGCTTCTCATCGAGGAGCTAAAGAAGGGCCAGGAGCTATACTTCAACCTGAAAGACCGCCAGGATAAGATCCTTTCTGCCATGGATTCTATTAAGAACCAAATGAAGGAGTTGAAGAGGAGCTGGAAGGAGGCTGAGATAAAAACCAAAGCAGTTCAAGTCCAGAAACTGAGTTTGGGAAAAGATTGTTTCGCCAAGTGTTCCGCTTTAGATGTAATGGAAGCTGAGTTGCGTGTCATGGAGCAGAAGAAAGAAACGGCTGATTCGGATATTGCGCGAGCGGAGGCTTGTTGGACCGACTTTAAGCACAAACTTATGAAGTGCCTGCTTTAATTAGCTTCTTCTATATATATATATACACTAATATACATGCCCTTGATGGCTAGCTAGATGCTCAATTTTCAAGGTGTAACTCGCGCATGAGTTGCAATGTTGCATGACATGTATACCCAATTAAGTACGAAGCTTAGCATGCTAAATTTGTATATATTAAGCTATTTAACTCTCGATCTTGGCTTGCAAGAAAGATGCAGGCAGCATGCATGTAAACACTGTTTTTTGCTGTGCATGCGCGTATATAGTGGTAGACTGGTAGCTCGTAATTGTACTAATTACAGAAAGTAGAACATGCTTTGATCTCTTTCAAAGGGCCGTCTAGTAAGGCCTCCAAAGAGGCGTGTAGACAAGATTATTAGGACAGCAATGTGGGGCAGGCGTGGAGTCCGCGAACCTCCTTGTGGCCTAGACGTGTTAGATTATATTCCAAGATCGGCATCATATAATTATACATTATCATATACTGATAGATGTGAGATTTAGGAATACCTGGAATAAATCCCTTATCCCTCTGGCCTCTTTCCTTATGAGATCTCTCACTTATATTGTGTTGTTATTCCATAGGGAATAAACATATATATAGAGGCAGAGGAGATGGTTGGGTAACCCTAGTTCTAGACAAACTCAAACACAGGTTCAGCCTATCATTAAACCAATTAAAGGTCTAGGACTATACGAACTCTGTTAATAATATATAACCTCAATTACATGACCAATATTAGAATATTAATTAATTAACTAAATATTCTAACATTCTCCCACTTGGTCATGTGATCCTTCATGAATTGATGAAAACTTAAACTGCGCAATACTCATCAAACAAAATTCACCAAGAAAAAACTTAACTGAATTTCAAATTGACTGGATCATGGCGGTTACACGCCATTTATACTGACATGCTCCCTTCCATGTATCATAAGACAATTATAATTCATCCTTATCATTTGAGAAATCTCAAAGCCTCAAATCTTAAATTTGAGGAATACTTAAATCCTCAACACTTGTTATCATTACAAATAATTATATGTGATCACAATCAAATAGATAACAAATAAACCAAAACATAACCTTTATTGAATTCAAATGAGTGTCTAAACATTAATATATAAAAATGAGCAAACATAAATCACTGACAAAATTATCATAGCAAGGCTTTTTTAACAACACCCATAGTAATTACATGATTCTTAAAACTTTGGGTGTTAGCCAGCGGATCCGCAACCATTTGTTCAGTGCCAATATGTTCAATAAACACTCTATGTTTCTAAACTTCTTCCTTAACTACAAGTACTTCAAATATATGCGTTTAGCACCTATAGTGTACCTATCATTCTTCATGAAGAAAACTGCCGCAGAATTAAATTTTCAGCGACTTAGCTATACTGTCGACGATTCAAACAAAGCTCCGCAGCCACAAACCATGAACAATGGCCTCAAAGCATGCCACAAGTTCGACCTCCATAGTAGAAGTAGCAAAAGCTATTTGTTTACTACTCTTCCAAGATACTATGAACAGAAAAACTAGATGTTGACTTTCTACTATCGACACATCCAACAAATTAAATCTGAATATCTTATCACGCTAAGATGATTAGATCTCCTAAATGTAAGCATGTTTGAACGTATCCAAACATCCAACCACTGACGCATAAGGAATTCTTTCCATCTCCTTACGTTCCAATTCATATTTAGGACATTGTAATAAACTGAACTTGTCCCCCTTCTGAATTGGAACCACATCTGAAGAGCATTTGTCCATCTGACTGATGTAACTTTTGTGAGACATACCCAAAACTCCCTATGAACGGTTTTGAAATAATTCAATTCCAATCACATAGGATGTCTCACCCATATCTTTCATCTAAAAAATTCTTAGAAAGGAATTTCTTAACATCATGCATCAACAAGCAAGATATCATCAACATATAGGACTAAAATTACAAAGCTGCTCTCACTGACCTACATATAGATGCACCGGTCAACGACGTTCTATATAAAACCACAAGAACAAATGGTATTATGAAACTTAAGATACCATTGTCGGGAAACTTGTTTTAGTCCATATATTGACTTTTGTAACTTACACACAAGATTTTCCCTACCAGTAGCCAAAAATCCTTCTGGTTGATCAATATACACTTCTTCCTCTAGGTCTCCGTTTAGAAAGTCAGTTTTCACGTCCATTTGGTGAAGCTCCAAATCAAAATGAGCCACCAAAGCCATAACAACTCTCAAGGAGTCCTTCTTTGAAACTGGAGAGAAGGTCTCCTTGTAATCAATGCCACGTTTCTGAGTAAATCCCTTAGCAACAAGTCTAACCTTATACCTTTCGATGTTTCCATTAGAGTCACGCTTGGTCTTACAGACCCACTTACATCCAACTCGTTTGGATCCATCAGACAACATAACTATATCCTAAACTTTATTGTCATACATGGATTTAAGCTCTTCATTCATGACATCAATCCACTTATCTGAGTTTTTTTTACTATACATGGCTTCCTCAAATGAGACTAGATCCTGACCAATGCTCAAGTCTCACTCATAGTCATCTGGAATAGCAGATCGTTTTTCCCTAGATGATCTTCTTAACGCTGTTCCTTCTGACAGATTATCATTTTCTTGAGTGATGACGTGCTCATTTGAAGTGGTCACAACATGTTCATTAGTATCTTGTTCACCAACTGCGCCTTCATTCTGATCATTAGTGATTGTGTCACTAACTATATATTCAGGTTGTTTGTTGGTGTTCGAGCTACTATTGATGCGTCCGACATGTGGGGACATGGCATTATCTTTTTGTTCTTGAATGACCACATTTCGTGGTTCACCACCCCCACTAACTTGATCATTTTCTATGAATCGAACGTTGCATGTCTCTACAATTCTCGTACTATGACTAGGACAATAAAACATAAAACCCCTTCGACTTTTCAGGATAGCCAATAAAAAAATCCACTGTCCTCGGATCAAGTTTCCTTTCATGTGGATTGTATACTCTTTTACTTCTACAGGACACCCCCCAAATATGGAGATGTCTCAAACTAGATTTCCTACTTGTCCACAGTTCATAAGGTGTCTTAGGAACTGCCTTACTAGGAACCCGATTTAACAGATATGTAGCATTCCTTAATGCATACATCCATAACGAAGGGGGTAAGGTAGAATAACTTAACATGCTCCTAAGCATTTCAATTAACATACGATTCCGCCTTTCAGCTACACCATTTTGTTGTGGTGTACCTGACATTGTGTATTGAGCACAAATGCCTCGACTTTCAAGGAATGAGCGAATGAACCTGGACATTGTCCATATTCATTGGATTTCCCATAATACTCACCACCTCTATCAGACCTCACAACCTTAACTTTCTTCTCTAACTGCATTTCCACCTCGTTAACAAACACCGCTAGAATGTCTGCCGACTGGGCCTTATAATGTAGTAGATAGATGTATCCATAACATGAGTAGTCATCTATAAAGGTGATAGAGTACTTTTCTCCACTCCAAGAAGGAACATCAAAAGGACCACAAATATAATATCAATGTGTATAAGCTCTAACAATTGAGTGCTTCTTGTGGACGCCTTCTTTATTGTGTGTTTGGTTTGCTTTCCTTTATTGCAATCAACACACACATCACAGTCACTAAAATCCAATTGAGGTAAAATTTTATTCTTAACTAACCTCATTAGCATATCTTTAGAAATATGATCGAGACGTTGGTGCCACAAGAAAACTGAGTCCTCATCTAGTGCACTACACTTAACTCCCACACTATTTTCAACATTAAATAGAGATTCAGTAAATTTCAAATCAAGATTAAAACGATATAGGGAATCAACCAACACACTAGATCCATAAATAAAATTATCCTTAAATAATGAAAAGGTATATTGTTCCCAAACTTGATATGAAATCCTAAAACATCCTACCTACTAACTGAAACAAGATTTCTAGCACAATCGGGCACATAAGGACAATTATCTAGATCTAAAGGACATCCAGTGTCTAAGATTAGCCTATAGGTCCCTATGCCTTCAATGCGAGCTTTCATCCTATTCCCCATAAATAGAAATTGTTCATTTCCCCTTATTGGTTGGATAGACTTAAATCCCTTCATAATGTGAGAAACAAGAGTAGAAGCATCAGAATCTAACCACCAAGCGTTATTAGGAACTTCTATGAGATTTGATTCGAAACGCACGAAACCTAAATGTGTATCAATCTTGCTTGACTTGATATCTAACATGAATTCCCTAATTAAATCGTTCGTGGACGATAAGAGATTTAACGAAGCTGCAACAATATACATGCTTACTATTAATGCTTTGAATTAACTAATACAGATTCATTCATAGAAAACCTAAACATATATGCTTAAATTCACCTTTGGGTGATCCTTAAATATATACATAAAATGATGTCAAATAATATATAAAAATTAGACAATTAATTATACATGACTAAATGAGTGGGGTCTTTGGACATTAACCCAATTTAATCTAAGTATAAAAATTAGTCTCTTAAATTGCAAATTATTATACATGCATGATCCACCTTTTGGTGATCTTATAGCAATATAATCTGAATGCATTATTTCATATTATTTAGTATCCTAAAATTACGAAAAATCGATTTTACCTTTCAGTTTTATTTATCAAATAACCCTCGGCCAGGACACTTTGGTGACTAACAAGCACTATATTTATAGACAATAAATCAAATTGATTGTACAAGTGTAATTGCATAAAATTTAATTATTTACTAAGCGTAAGAGCCAGACCTCTTTGGTGACTAACAAACTCCTTATATATAAATAATTAAATTTAAATACCCATATATCAAAATTATGACCAATTCTCTCAATTAAAATTTCTAAGTTAACCATTAAATCACTTTGGTGATTATCAACTTATCATAACATTAGAAATTTAAATGAGTGAATATAGTCATATACCAAATTTTACTCAATTAAATTGCTTAAATTGATTTAGTCTGATCACTTTGGTAACTAACATGCATCATATGGACATAAATCAACTAGATCAAAATTTAATTATTTAACTCTCATATTGAGTCATGCCACTTTGGTGACTAACAAACTCCTTATATTTAAATAATTAAATTTACAAGTACATCAAACGTAGATTAATTAATCAAACAGATCCTAAAATCTAATTATTTAACTATCACATGAGTCAGGCCACTTTGGTGACC